ACAAACAGAAATAACCAGCCCCACAGCCTTATTCTTTAGCACACATTTTCCCATCTCTCCTCTTTACAGGATCCTGCTCTACTGAATTTTAATAGATTTAATGTTCTTAGTACTAGTTTTTCATACCTATCGACTCCTAATTGATGCAGTTATATTTTATGTTCATTTGGCAAATGGAAAGCATCGTATCTTTCAAAAACCTAAGCTAAAATAGAACACTTGGAGACAAACTACCTTGAAGTGATAAAGAGGAGGTGGAATTAACATATTACAAAACTATCCCTCATATACTTACATGAGGGGACTCACTTTTCTCTCACCTGAGTAAAGCAAAGGACAATGACCCTTAAAGGTCAACATGTATAAGGAGGGGTAATAAAGAAGAAAAGTAGGGTTTTCTCTAAATATCACTGTTAAAGAAATCATTCAAGAAGTTTCACCAAAATGAACTGATGGGAAGAAAGGAAGGCAGACAAGTTAGCAAACTTATGAAGGTTACAGTAAGAGCAGAAAAGAGTCAATTTACCTGACAACAGGTCGGTTTTGGATGTCACCAAACTGCTGCGTTTACCATTTTACCCGCTTGCATTACTGGGGGGAAAAGTTTAGGAAGGAACATTCTCAAGGACTTTTCATAAGTTCTCACTCTCGCCATCGGAAAGGGGAGAAGGGAAGGTTTTCTCTGGATTGTTTGACTTTTTTGGCTCCTGAAAAGTTTTGCAAAGAACAGTAACAAAGTGTGAACTGTTAGAACACATTTCTGTAAAAAAAGGGAGAATAAGTCACACAAAATAGAGCAACAACAAATCCCACCCGAAATCCGCGCATCTAATTTGTGTCATCGGTTTAAACAAATAAACAAAACAAAAACTTTTCAACTCAAATTGGAAATGTGAGAGGCTTGGAGACTTCCAACAGCAGGCCAAGATCCACCATCAGAATGCTCCAAAAGTCACCCTCAAAGGTTAAGAAAGACTTAAAGAAATAAAACAAAGGAAAAGGCAGCAAACATCTGGTTATAAATCCTGCAGTGTTCAGTTTAAAACAATTCCTAGAACAGTGAAAAAATTAAAAATGAAAGAAGACAGTAGCAACAGAAGTTACCTGTCCGAGCACCTACTATTCCATAGAGAGAACAGGAGTGGGTCGTGTGTCTCACACCAGCCATAAAGCCCATAAACCTTCTCAAAAAGAGTGAGCCATGAGAAAGATACTGCACATGCGATTTGTTTTCAAAGTCTCTCTAAGCCCTTAAGGTCCCTTATGTATTTAACTGACAGATTTTTGCAATAAGGGGGAGAAAAGATTTAGCAAACGTCACTGGTTTCATTTGTTGGATTTTGAAGTCCAGTATAACATCTGAAGAAATATCTCCTTTGTGTCTGACGTACACAGATGTTCCAGAGGTTATTTCCTGAGTATCACACTTGAAATATATCACACGAAGTGGGAGAAAATGCTCCAAGAGTGACCATCAGCTCAGAACAAAATGTTAACAGTCCACATATGCATCAAGCACTGACACTGTGTTACGGATGAGGTGTTGTAACATTCCAAGAAAAGATTTTATAAAACACATTAAAGCATTAAATACAAGGTTTATGATACAATCCGTACATTGACACAGCAACACATCAATTATAAACATGGTAAGTCGAACAGAAGAAAATCTCCAGTGTTACAAAGAAACAAATTTCATCCGATGTAGTTTAAGAGACTTATTCTTGCAAACGAGAGTTTCTAACTGGCTCTTTCAAACATTAAAATATACAAAAATAGTTGTATCACCATCAGCTGTATTAGCACTATTGTAACCCAGCACTACGTTGACCATTTTTTCAGCACATGCTTCCAAACCCACATACGGAGGTAGTGTTAGTGCAACTGTATGAAAGTTTAGCATGTGTTTTTCAGCATATGGAACTGAAGGAAATACAGTGTATAGAGCTGACGTCTGTAAAGTTCACCTTCAATGGGAAACACTGCCTGGTTACCACAGGCTAGATTTGTTTGTGTTTTTTTCCTTTAAGTAAAAGAAGACACCTCCCCTCGCACCCCCAGCCCATTCTATACATTTCACTATTTCAGGAGCAATGGGTAAGTAGGGAATAAATACATGAGACAAGTGTGCCCATTTGTAGCAATGAACCCTCAAGCAAGGTTTTCATGCAGTATCAATACCCAATGTCCAAACAAATGTACATGATGTTTCAAATCCTGTCTCCCTCCCTGACCACTATGAATAGACTTCTCTCCAAACTAGCAATGGAAGCACCAACCAGAGGAGCATCTTATCCCAAGGGAGCCAAACTGTAAACCTCTCGAACCTCTCGATGTTTACTTCACAAGTTTTACTACTGTGAGGTGTAACCTGCACATTCTGAAAGGGTGATAAAATTGTAAAGTTCCTGTGAGCCACAAAATACTATGGAGACTCAAAAAACAGTCCAGAACGTTCAGTTACCAGCTCTTTCCTCTAAAAGATGTTTCCTGTGATAGATATAGCGAGGTCCCGCTATACCAGCTAGCACATGTTTACTCCCTGCTGTTATTCCACATGCGCTCAATGTGTGCCACAGCTGAAAAGGAAGGGATTGACCCTATCAGCCTCTCAAGGAGTGCAGACACCTACCAGTAAAAAGGAAAAGAAAAAGAAGAAGGAAAAAAAAAAAAAAGGGGGGGGGGGGCGGGGGGGGGAGATAAAAAAAAAAAGGAACCCCACCACCCAAATTCCACTTAGATAAACAAGCAAGGGGAAAAGAGCCCTGGAAGAGACAGTTTACTGCTCAGTGACTAGAAAATTAGGTTTCTTTCTGCAGCTCTTCATGGAAGTTAAAGACCTTTATATTCTTCAGGTGTAACCTGTGTGTTTGAAGGCTCAGGAAGAAAGATTTGAAAATACCTTTACTGCTGAAGCTCCTTTTGTTGCCGGACCAGCTGGTCCGCTCTCCTGCTTAACACCAACAGTCAACCTTTCACTTGATTTTAATAATAATATTTAATTCTACAAAAAAAAGCCATTTTATTACATTCCTTTTAAAATAAAAAAAACCAAACTGTACAAAGAAGCATGATCAAACCTCCATAAAGCAGGTTAATACTGTTCTGTTTATTGCCTCTTGAAGACTCTCTGCATAGTGTCCGTGAGTTGTGTTTAAGGTCCAAGTGAAGGTAAAACAGCAGAGCAGCAGAGAGGTGAGGAAGGGCCACAGAGGTGGGCAGTGCAGAGCCTCAGAGGGTACATGGGACATGCTCCATTAAAGTATCCAGAAAACAGCAGCATTGCACACACACAACCCCCCTCCAAACAAACCCTATTTTCACAAGATTATTTTTCAATTGTAAACGTTTTACTTTTCGTTTTTAAAAAAAGAGGCTTATCTTTATATATATATCTCTCTCTATCTATAGTTCCAGGGCTTTATGAACCCAGAGAATGAGAAAGTAATGAAAAGGGAAGAAGAGAAGGAGGAGGAAAAGGAGAGGGAAGATAGGGACTGAAAAATGGACTCAGTATCTGTTTTGGTTATCTGTCTTCCAAAACAGCTCAAGGCTAATGAGAAAATGCACAGCCAGAAGGACTAAGGAAAATCAGGTAGCCTGGAAAAAAATTAGGAGCTAAACAGCCAAAACCTGAAAAGAAATAAAGCAAAGCAAATGCACACACACAAACACACACAAGTGTGTGCAATCACACCACACACACATAAGGGTCCAGGATCAATTTGTTAATTGTTTGTGGACCTAGGTTATATATTTTATTTTTTTTAATTCTGGCTGAGCTCTCTTCTTTTTTTTTCTTTTTTTCTTTTTTGGTGGTTTTTTTATTTTTTTTATTTTTTTTTATTTTAAATCTGCTGCATGTTTCCCAAAGCTAAGAATTGAGTATTTCTCCCCAGTCATACTCTTTGGATTTCTGCCAACATCAGCTTTTATGTTCAGTGGGGAAAAAGTAAGCCTGGTAAGTATTGTATGAACTGCAGCTTTATTCTAAAGTACCTCTAGATGTCTAATCACTTTTAACCAACTTTTCCCTCCTCCACACCTTACCACGTTTCCCCCCCAAGAAAAGCAAAAAATAAAAACAAAACAAAAAAACACCCCACCGACGTACAGGCTTTAACTCAGTGTTTTCTTAACATACAGTCTGCAGTGTTTTCACTTTGGCCACTGTTAAAGATGCAGGCATAGAGAAGGGAGTGTTGGACTAGCATGTATTAAAGAAAAAGGAACATTAACATTGCAGATCTCTCTCAAAAAGACTAAAACACTAACAAATACAAGTCGATGCACGTTTGCTTTAAACTAGTGTAATTCTTTTTCACATTGGATTAAACATTATTTTGTATACCAAACATTACAGTGCTGTTTATCTCCTCCAATCATGCAAAAAATAGTTAAAACGTGACACTTCTGCCACAAATAGAATATGACCAATTCCCCTACATACCTTCCAAAATCAGGATTTGAAATGAGAAAAACACAAGTACTAAAATCCTCCTTCAAAAGCTTTATAAATATAGACACAAAGCTGCCAATTAATACCAAGACGGCACAAATTATAGATTTGTACAGAAAGCTCACGTGAAGTCAACTGACACTTTTCTCAGCCTCATCATTTGAAAGGCCGTATCCTGCAAGGTCAGAAAGTGATGACTTTAAAAGGATCCTGAACTTACAGCTCCCATCTACAAGAGTAGGAAAAGTAGGTGTCCAGGAACTTTGAAATACCTGGTATTTAACACCTTCAACTCACGTTGAGAATTTCAGGCACTCGGCAATTTACAGGATCAAGCCTTACAGAGGTAGAAGAGACTTAACTGGTGCAGTAATTCACAAAAGTTTCTAGAGAGCTGTCAGACAGCTTTCTGAAAATCTTCAAGTGTGAATCATGCTTCAATGCTTGCCTGTGAACACACATGAACTGCAATATGTCTGCAGACCAAAGCAGCATCCAAATAAAATTCCCACTTAGGTTGTGAACAGAGCATCTTCATTAGAAAACTGATGCTGAAGAATGAACACAATTTTATGTTCTGCAAAAAAGTAGGGGCAGCAATCACTGCACACGTGCCTTTTACTCTTGCTCTCTTGATTGACACACCCCCCTTTCCTCATTCCTCTGAGCTTCTCTGATAAACAGCATTGCAAGTTGGTTTAAAAAAAAATTTACAAGAGAGAGTTCTGTTGGTCATCTATTTACATGTGGCATCACTCCACAAGAAGTTTGATCTCATTGGCTAATAGCTGGTTCATGTTGAATAGAGCCCCCGGGAGCTTGGTGAGCAACTCTCTCTCCGTGGTCTCAGGGTCGCTGTCGACAGAGCTGGAGCTAGCACTCATATTGTCGACAGCGGCACTAGCTGGAGGGCCCAGCTCTGGCTCGCTAGTCTCGCTTGCCGTGGACACCACAGAGAGCAAGGACATGCGCCGCGTCAAGCGACCGGGGGTAAGGAGAGAAGCGGCATAGTCCGCTATGATACCAGCTACATCTAGATTACAAGCCTTGTCAAAGGCAATGAAACCTACATTTGCATTGGCCTCGCAGACGTAGAATGAACCGTCGTCCTTCATCAGCAGGTCAATGCCGCACACGTCCATCCCCAGGATGTTTGACACTTGGACTGCCAACTGCTTGCCTTGTTCACTCAGTGAGCACATCATGCCTACACCACCTGGAAAAAGTGAAAAAAAACTTGCTGTCTGTAGTCTGGTCACAGGTGACTGACATCCTTCTCAACTGGTTGGTGCTTTTTGGTTGGGAAGCTCCAAAACGAGCCTGCAAGCATACTGCTGATGACTCAGAAAGCAACCTCCTTTCCACAGTGACTACTAATGAACTTGAAGCCACAGCAGGATTTCAAAAGATTCTGACCTGCCAAAGGCAGGTCAAGATTATGACTTGTTTAAAAAACAGTTAAGTGCTGACTTTTTAGTCAAGAAAAATATCATACATTTTTATGATCCTGGGATATTAAAAAGATGACCTGACAAACCATCCTTGTTCCTTCTAAGGTAGAGGCTTTCCATACATATTTGTAAGTTATTACAAGAAATCTTTCAGCAAAATTAAACCAAGTGTTCCTGATAGGACTACAGCTCTAACAGATATAATTGAGGGGGACAGGGGTTAAGACATTATCACCTGCTCATGTCCCCCTCAGCTTGCTATCATAGATTACTGTCTCTAAAGCAAGAATTAGGGAACATTTGCATCTGAGCCTCAGCTGGTCCAATTCACAGTCCATCATCTAAGTATTAACTGACTCAGACTTCATCTATCACAACACTTAAGTCTAAAAAAAAAAAAAACACTACACCACACAAAACACCAAACGAAACAACCAATAACAAACCAAAAAACATTTAGCAGAAACATCTTTCAGGCTGTATTTCCTCAGCATCAAGCAGCAACTAAAACCTCACAGGCATTTTGACTAACCAAAACTGTACTACACATGAACAAGTTTTATCCCATCCCTGCTCAGGTTCAGAAGAGTTTCAGCCAGGCAACCTCAATCCTCCTTCCTCCTTCTACCCTCAGAACCCCCCTGTCCTACACACAAAGCTATGCAGAAACTCAGTTCGGAGTATACTACAATCAATGCAGCAACCTTCCTCTTCCTCCCAGACACGGTCTTTGGGGGAAAAGGTTGCAGGGAGGAGCCAGACAGACTTAAGGCAGCACAGCAGCTGCACAATGCAATCTGTTTACTGCCTTCAACAGTTTCCTCCCTTAACACTTTCTTCTACCCTCTTTCCAACTGGCTGCCTCCTCCACCTCCCTCAGTCTCATCTTCTGTCTTCCTTCTTTTTCTGTTTCTCTTAACAGGATGAAACGAATGATAACATGGCATTAGCATGACATTGCCACTACCACATCAGTTGCTCCATTTGTGTTCTTAGAACTCTCCCCTCCTTTTCATCCGTCCTATCCATCTAATACTCTGGGCAGACATTGTCTCTCCTGTGTTTGCTCAACACACATCTCACTTAATCTTCACTCTCGTTTTTCCTCTGTAAACCCCCAACAGTAAGCACAATTAATACAAAGTAAAACCTGCAGCTTATTTCAGTTGGGTTTGTGATTTTTCAATTGGATTGAAAAATTCTGATCAAAACTATGAACAATGCTTTTCCTACCAAGTGAGCAGTTACTCTGCATCCTCCCATCTGTTGAGCAGCGGAGCATGGTGCCCACCACACGGCCTCCTACTACGATGACACGTACATCCTTGCCATGGGACTCTTTAACATATTTTTGAAATAAGTAAGGGGCATCGTGACGGATCAAATGGCTTAGGTCTGCCAAATGGTGCTTGTCTCGTGCCAGGAACACAGCTTTACCTGTATGAAGAAAAGAACATCAGAAGATTGGAAGAAGCTTCCAATTTGAGCTGCGTCAATGATTCAGCGCATAAAAGTAAAACCTCTGACCAGTATGCTGCCCATTCTCACAGGCCCCATCTGTAGCTTATACCTAATTTACAAATTCTTCTGTGGACATCAGCGTTCCGCTGTTTCAGTGCTTCTAAGTGTTCAAGTACTGACTGAGAGAGTTGAGGAGCCATAT